TGGCAGAGATGGAGTGTATAATAATAGGAACTATTGTGATGCCATTACATGCCAGGCACTGCTCAAAGTGCCATGAGCTCTGCCTCTTGAATCCTTGCAGCCCCGTGAACTCTCGGGAGGATTTTAGCCTCAGTTTTCAGAGCAGAAACCCAAGACCCAGAGGATGGAGTGACCTGGTTGAGGTCACACAGAGGAGTTCTTTTTTTTTTTTCTTTTTTAAAAATAATTTTATTGTATTTATTTATTTTTGGCTGTTCTGGGTCTTCATTGCTGCAAAGGCTTTTCTCTTGTTGTGCCGAGCAGGGCCCACTCTCTAGCTGTTGTATGAGGGCCTGTCATCGTGCTGGCTTCTCTTGTTGCGGAGCCTGGGCTCTGGGGTGCAAGGGCTTCAGTAATTTCAGCTCCTGAGTTCTAGAGTGCAGGTTCAGTAGTTGGGGGTGCCCGGGCTTAGTCACTCCACAGCATGTGGGGTTTTCCTGGCCCAGGGATTGAACCTGTGTCACCTGCAGACGGATTCTTTACCACTGAGCCACCAGGGAAGCCCTACTTTATTTTTACTTGAAGGATAACTGGGGTTGTATCCTACTCATATTTAACTTGCACAAACTCAGCTCTACCTACCCTGAGTCAACACTCCTCTGTTCTCGCTCATTTAAACCAGCTGCAGAGGCCGCAGAGCCATAGAGGGTCAGGGGTGTGGCCGAATGTGGGACAGATTTTTCCAGCTTTGCCAAATTGCGCTGTTCAAACAAGCGAAAGGATGAGAATGATTAACCTCAGGAAGAAGACAATTCTGCTCAGAACCATCCTGTAGCTCCCCCTCACTCAGAGTCAGAGCCAAGTCCTCCTTTTGGCCCACAGGGCCCGGCAGAGTCTGCCTCTGTCACCTCTCTGACCTTGGCGCCTCCTGCTCTCCGCTTGCTCAATCTGCTCTGCTTCGCCGGCCTCCTCCGTGGCCCTCACGCAGACACCAGGGGCGTTCCTACCGTAGGGCCTCTGCACCGGCTGTGCCTAACATTTAGAACTCTCTTATCCCAGATATCTGTGCAGTTCCCTCCCTCTGGCCCTTCAGATCTTTACTCATATGCCACCGTTTCAGTGAGAGGGTCCCTGACCGCCCCAGTTAATACTGCAACAGCCTTCACTGCACACACACACTCCATTCCATTTCCCTCCTTTAATTTTTTCAGTACTTTTCTCCACTGGACAAAATGAATTTTCTTATTTGTTTGTTTCCCCCATAGAAGAGCAACCCCCTGGGGGCAGAGGTTGTTGTCTGTGTTCTTCACTTATTGAGCACCTGCTGTGTACTAAGCTTGTGTTAGACACGGGGATAGAGTGGTAGGGAAAAAGCCAAACTCCTTGCTGTGTACGCAAGTGCCTATGCATGTGTGTGTGTGTGTGTGTGTAGCATACAAGCTCCTCTGCTCGTGGATCTCACATCCTAGAGAGGGAGACAGGCACGCAATTATGTGATAACAAGCGGGCAGTGTGGAAGGCATGGCAGAGAAAGGAGGTGAAGGGTGACAGGCTGGTGGGGAGGGGGGCCTCCCTGAGGAGGTGGACTTTGCCCTGTGGCTTGAACAGTGTGATGGAGTCAGTCTTGAGACCACTGCTGGGGAAAGGCTGCTCTAGGCAGAGCGAGGAATAGGCATGAAGGCCCCAGGAGGGGAATGTGTCGCACTGTTGTAACAGCTGGTGGAGGCCTGCGTGCCCAGTGGAATAGGTTAGAAATGGTGCTTGTGCTGAGGTCCTGGTGTAAGACCTTGCATTTTATTCTATATGAGAGGGATGGATGGGAAGAAGAGAGGGCCCTGAGGTGATTACAAGGGCCCTGCGGCTGCGTGCGGGGAACAGACTGTGGGGGCAGGTTGGTGGAGGAAAAGGTTGGACTTGGGATTGTCTTAAGGTTGGAGTGACAAAGATTGCTCCATTTCTCACCTTCCCATCTCAGGAAACATTACCACCTTTGACGAAATTAGTGTTAGTTGCTCAAGTCATGTCTGACTCTTTGAGACCCCATGGACTGTAGCCCAGTCCACAGAGGAGCCAGCCCCTCTGTCCATGGCATTTTCCAGCAAGAATACTGGAGTGGGTTGCCATTTCCTTCTCCAGGGGATCTTCCTGACCCAGGGATCGAACCTGGGTCTCCTGCATTGCAGGCAGATTCTTTACCGCCCAGAGCTGGCTGCACGGTTCTGGGTTTGAAACCTCAGTTCCACTGCTCACAAGGCAGGGTGACCTTGGGCAAGCGACTTAAGCTCCCTGTGCCTCAGTTTCTTCCCTGATAAAATGGAGATTGTAATAGAACCTACCTCAAAGGATCACTGTGAGGCTAAAGTGAGCAGAGACTCAATACGTGTTAACTTGCATTGCCTTCACACGCCAAATGCGACCCCTCCAGAAGTCCTGTGTGGGTTGCTTTCTCCATTGTGGTGGTTTGCCTGGCCTATGACCTCTAGTCAGGGCAATGGGTAGGGCCTGGGAGGCTAGGTGAGCCTCCCCACATCTCCCCACCAGGTATCGACCTCACGGACATGGCTTCAGAGCTCCTTCAGCCCCCAAGTGACGACACGGCTCGCATCAGCTGGTTCCTCCATAGTCTCCTCACCAGATACCAAGAGACCTTCAGCGTCATCGAGAAGGTGACTCTGGGAGTCTAGCAGGGTGTCCCCCTCACATGCTGCTCCCGGACCAGCCTTGACGCTGCCCCTTCTGTCCCTTCCCAGTGCCCTAAGCCGGTGATCGCTGCCATCCATGGAGGCTGCATTGGTGCAGGTGAGTCTGAACCCACCCACCCCAGATCTGTTGCTAGTTAGACTTTGCCCCAGGGTGCAAGCCCATGGTCTGGGAGTGGGGGTGGGTCAGTCCTGTGGTGCTTTAGTGTCTCTGGCCTCTATTTCCCAGGAGTGGATCTCATCACTGCCTGTGACATCCGATACGGCACCCAGGATTCTTACTACCAAGTGAAGGCGAGCCATTCTCCCGTGTTTCTGCTCCCTTGGGTCCTACTGAGGGCTGGGAAATGAGTGGCAGAGCCAGGTCAGAGCAGGGATGGAGCAAGCTACGGGGGTGGGAGTGAGCCTAGATGGCTTCATGGAAGAGTTAGAATTGAATCTTGAAAAGTAAAACTTGGCCGTGGGGGACATCAGGGGGAGGTCACGCAGTCAGTGTGAGGTCAAGAGTGAGTCAAGGTTTAGGGGAGGGGAAGAAGGTGGGGGCTTTGCCTGAGGCAGCTCTGGAGCGGGTGGGAGGCAGGATGGAGCTCATGGATGGAGGGGGTCAAGGCAAGGCTTTTCCTGGAGATAGATGCAGCTGACTTCAGAGTTGGGAGGACAGAAGCATTGGAAGGTGGGCTATATTCTAGAGCAAAGGAACCTATGTGGGCAAAAGTATGTGGATGGGAATGAAAAGGGGTGTTTGGGAGGGGCGTCTCCGAGGTTAGAGTGTGGTGAGACTCTGAGGTAAATGCAGGGCTTCGCTGGCATTGAGGCTGCAGTGGGGACAATACTGGGCAGAATCCAAGAACTGACACTGTCGCTTCCCCTAGGAGGTGGACATAGGTTTGGCAGCAGATGTGGGAACCTTGCAGCGACTGCCCAAAGTCATCGGGAACCAGAGGTGGGTGAGAGGAGCCTGGGGAAGGGGACAGCAGGGCATCGCCTAAACCAGATACCATCCTCTCGCATGTCCTGCCCTCTTGCAGCCTGGTCAACGAGCTGGCCTACACTGCCCGCAAGATGATGGCTGACGAAGCCCTGGGGAGTGGACTGGTCAGGTAGGGGCTGAGGCCTATGCTGGCTAAGAATTAAGGGGCAGCCAGACTTTGGTGGGGCTCCCTGGATTGCCATGCACCCTAATCACGGATTTCAAGTGGCCTCCTCTCTGTGGGTGGTCTGGAGTCTACTGCCCTGCTCCGATTGGCCCATTTCACCAGCGCTGTCTTCCACTTTCTACTTCGATTGGCCACTTCTTCATCCATGGGAGGGAGAGGAGAGCTCTTCTCAGATTGCCTGATTTCCAATTCCTTTCATCCTTAGCCGTCTCTTCCCAGACAAGGAGAGCATGCTTGATGCGGCTTTCACCTTGGCAGCTGAGATTTCCAGCAAGAGCCCTGTGGCGGTGCAGGGCACAAAAATCAACCTGATCTACTCCCGCGACCATTCGGTGATGGAGAGCCTCAACTACATGGTGAGACTCTCCATCCAACCAATCACACCCATCTCTGATTCCCTGAGTGACCAATCAGGGAACAGCGGCCCTTTACAGGCCTTGTCCTTTGATTGGCTGGCTGCTATCTCCCTCCCATTTTTCATTGGTCCAACGAAAATATTCCTGTATCCTTTCTATTACCGGCTGCCATCTTTATCCAGAAATCCTGGAACATGAGCATGCTACAAACAAAGGACATCATGAAGTCTGTCCAGGCCGCAATAGAGAAGAAGGATCTGAAGACCGTCACCTTCTCCAAGCTCTGAGAGGCCTGTCGTCCCAGGTCTTGGCGCAGGTCTGGCTTTGCCTGGCATCCTGCCTGCGTGCTCTCGTTCACAGAAAGGGAGGATTCATAAAGATGGTCCAACTTGCTGTCTTCTCAAGTCTCCCAGTTTATACCTTTATGACACATTTCTCCCTGCCTTATCTTTGCCCCACGAACAATAAAGCAATGTAAAGAACCTGGTGTCCTTGTTGGCAAGAGAGGCGAGGCAGAAAGAGTAGGTCACACAATGACCCTGGGGGCTCTAAGGACCACGGTTGTGTTGAATGTTGGGAATAGAGATTTGACCAATGGGAATGGGAGCTGTGCAGGTGATGACCATTCAGAGTGTTGGTGGGCAGGACAGGCCTGGTAGAAAGTCACGTGACTCCCTTTAGGTTGACAAGGCTACAGATGGTCTCCCTGCCTGCTTCATGCTTAAGGGCAGAGTCTACCCTGCCTGGTACCCACTCACTGCAGAACATAGTGTGATCCGGTGCTGGAGTGTGGCCAGGAGTCAACTGCTACCCACTCTTGCCCTCCCAACCTCCTGGGGAATTAGGACTAGGCGCTTTCACTGCGGTGGCCCAGGGTTCAATCATTGGTTGGGGAGCTAAGATCACACAAGCCTGGTGGCACCACCAAAAAAATTAATTAAAAAAACTAACCTCCTGGATTTATGTTTGGAATGAGAGCAAAGTATTATTTTCCGCCTTTTTAGTTTTTAGCATTAATTTGGTGTCTTGTATATGCCACATCCTGTTCTGAATATTTATTAATTTAGTGATTCCTTTCAAAGACCCTATGAGGTTGATACTATTAATATTCTCCCATTTAACAAATGGGCAAATTGAAGTGAAGACACTGACCCAAGATCAAACAGCCAAGAAATGTCAGAGGAAGGAATTCAACCCAGAGCTTCTGGCTCTGGAAGTCAGTGATCTAAAGCACTACATATACAATACAATGTACATAGTAGAGCCATGCAGTGGGCAAGCAATAAATTTAGGTCTTTTCACAGCTCCTGGGAGTACCAAGAGTACCCAGTTCCTCCCTGCTTTCACTTTTTTCATTGCCCATCTGTTCTGGGCCACTCCTTTTAGCCTTGCCCTGCCCAACCCTCCTGGCCTCACCCTCCCTCTGCTAACAAAGGTCCAGTCAGGTTTTATGGACTCTGATAAGGGCCAAAGTTCACCAGCACTTCCTCTTTGCAAAAGAGGCTAGAGGGGCTCTGACCTGAGTCGTGCCAGGTGTGGCCCCAGTGATCTGGATGCTGGTTGGTCACTAGTGAGGCTGGTAAGAGAAGGGAGCCTGGGATGCGCAGAAGAGGGGCCCCACGGACCCTGCCCTGCCAACCACACCCTTATCCTCAGGTATAAGAGCCACCCACCACCTGCTAGCTGCCACCATTCACAACTCCTGCAGCTTTTCTCACAGAAGTCACCAGCCCAGCCACTCAAGATGGCCTTTATCCCTGCACCAGGCTACCAGCCCACCTACAACCCGGTGAGATACCCTAACCCCGGGCTTAGGTCTACCCGGATCTCCACGCACCAATTTATCCTCATCCTGAGCCTCAGAGGCACCCATCTGTGACCCTCAGTTCTGATTTACCCAACACTGACCCTGGAGCCTGATTTACTCCCACTCTGACTCTCAGGCTATTTGCTTCCATCTGTAACTCAACTCTCTTCATCTCACTGATCCCTTATGCTTTGGTTTCCTCTCTCTTGCTTAATGGAGTGGGGCTGAAGGGGCTTCTGAATAAATGGTAAGGGCTGCAATAGGCAGATGGCCTTTGAGGCCCCTCATCCAACCCCATCTGCAGACGCTGCCCTACCGCAACCCCATCCCAGGAGGTCTCAGAGTTGGAATGTCCATTTACATCCAAGGAGTGGCTAGTGAGCACATGAAGAGGTAAGACCCTCCCCTGTGCCAGGCGAGCAAAGGAGGAATGGGGGAGGGGAGGGGGTGACTACAAACAGGGGGCTTCCAGCCCAAATGCAGCAGGCCCATTTCCCTTCCTCCACCCTGGCTGAGAAGTGGACTCTATGTCACTGCCTCGGATGGCCAAAGACCAGCCCTGGTCTGGAGAGTCCAGGGCGTGGTGATCAGATCAGGAGGGGGACCCTGGGGGCTGGGAGGTGTCAGGGAGACTCACCATGACAGGTGGCCCCAAACTTGGGACACTGGATTGGAATTGATGGGTATGACAGCATGAATTAAGATCACGTGCTCAGAACGGGTCCACCTGAGTTCACATCCCAGATCTGTCACTTACCAACAGTGTGACTGGGAAAGCTCTGTGTGCTTTACTTGCTCATCTGTAAAATGGGTTTTGAGGATTCAATGTGTAAAACGTGTAAGGTAGTATAGTCAGTGCTACAATAACTTAGCTTTTTAAAAAATGTTATTTTTTTCTTTACTTTTGGCTGTGCTGGGTCTTCATTGCTGCTTGCAGGCTCTTCTCTAGTTGCAGCGAGTGGGGACCACTCTCTAGGGGCAGTGCGCAGGCTTCTTCTTGTGGTGGCTTAGCTTGATGTGAAGCACAGGCTCTAGAGCTCGGGCTTCAATACTTGTGACGCATGGGCGCAGTAGTTGCTGCTCACAAGCTTAGTTGCCCTGGCACATGTGGAATCTTCCCAGACCAGGGGTTGAACCTGTGTCCCTTTCACTGGCAAGCAGAGTCCCAACCACTGGGCTATCAGAGAAGTCCTTAGATTTTTTTATGGCTTTAAAATAGGATCGTTGTTTCTTTGTTCATTTTTTATACATCCACTGAACGCCCACTCTGTGCCTAGGCGCTGGGAACAGAGCAGTCAACAGGACAAAGATCCCTGGAGCTGACATCCTAGTAGAGGAGATGGATAAAAAATAAACTTAAATTAAATATACAATTTGGCAAATGGTGATAAATGCTATGGAGACAAATAAGGAGAGAAGAGAGATGGGAAACAGATGTGGGGAGAGGATGTGGCATTGTCCCATTAAATAAGATGGCCAGGGAAGGGAACTTTTCAGCAAAGACCTGAAGGAGATGAGGGAGGGAGTCTAGAGTGTATGGGAGGGAAGAGCATTCCAGGCAGAGAGAACAGCCAGTGCAAAGGTCCTGAGGCAGGTGTGTGCCTGCCCCCTTGCAGTAATCTGTGGGATGTTCATGTGAAGGGAGCTGTGGAAAGTGCTCGGATTTGGGTCTTCCGAATGACAGAGAATGAGATGGTTGGATGGCATCACTGACTCCATGGACATGAGTTTGAACAAGCTCCAGGAGTTGGTGATGGACAGGGAAGCCTGGCATGCAGCAGTCCATGGAGGCGCAAAGAGTCAAAGACAGGACTGAGCGACTGAACTGAACTGAACAGTCCCTCTGTCTGCACGTGGGGAATGGGCTTCAGGAACTGGGGCAGGAACTGAGACTTGAACTTATAGATTCAAGTTTGCCGGGGCAAACGCAGGAGTCCCAGGGGCGCTCCTATTTGAAGCTGGGTGGGGGAAGGGTTTCTCAAAAGGACAGAGAGTGAGCGAAGGGGTAGCAGTGGGAAACTGCCCCTTGGAGTGCGGCCAGGGGTAGAGCCCTCCGTGTTCCGCCAGGTTCTTCGTGAACTTCGAGGTGGGGCAGGGCCAAGGGGCAGACGTCGCCTTCCACTTCAATCCCCGCTTTGATGGCTGGGATAAGGTGGTCTTCAACTCGAAGCAGAACGGCTCCTGGGGCAACGAGGAGAGGAAAACGAGCATGCCCTTCCGCAAGGGCGCGGCCTTCGAGCTGGTGTTCATGGTCATGACAGAGCACTTCAAGGTCAGAGCCGTGGGGGCGGGGCCTCCCACCCACCTGCCCCTCCCTCCCTCCCTAGGGGCGGGGCCTCTCCTCCCCGCTCCTCCCTCCCTCCCTGGGGGCGGGGCCTCCCCTCCCCGCTCCTCCCTCCCTCTCTTTCTTCCTTCCTTCTTGTTTGCCTGCCTGCGTTTCTTCCACTACTCCCTCCACTCTCCGTTTCTTTCTTCTTTTCCCCTCTCTCCTTTCTCCCTCCCTCCTCCCTTTTTTCTTTTCTTTTCCTCCTTTCCTGCCTATTAAACAATTCTCTCTTTTTCTTTTAATTCTTTTTTTTTCATTAAAAATTTTTTAAATATAAATTCTCTCATCTCTTTTTCTTTTTTTTTTTTCTCATCTCTTTTTCTTATTCCCATTCCTCCACCTTGGAGAGCCTTCTGACATGTTTCGCGTTTATAATCTTGCCCCTCTGTGTTCTTGCGAGATTCAGATTTGTGTCCAACTCTTTGCCACCCCATGGACTGCAGCCCGCCAGGCTCCTCTGTGCCTGAAATTCTCCAGGCAAGAATACTGGAGTGGATTGCCCTTCTCCTCAGGGGATCTTCCTGACCCAGGCATCGAACCCAGGTTTCCCACATTGCAGGCAGACTCTACCTTCTGAGCCTCTAGGGAAGCCCAAACACACACAAAAGGAAGCACCAAATTCTGGGAAACCCTCCTCTCCTGCGCCAGGGCTGACAGCTGTCAACTCCAGGTCTGTCTGCTCCCATCTCTACCTGCCACCTCCCCTCCCCTATTATTTAACAGCAAATCCTAGATATCATATAATTTCATTCATAATATTTTTGTTTTTAAAAACACAAGCAGGCTGCCACTATCAGACCTAAAAAAATGTTCAGTTCTTCCTTAGGGTCATCACACACCCAGTGATCCCGTCAACTCATGAATGCCGTAATGTTTGATGTTGCCTACATTTCATTTGAATCAGCATCCAAAAAAGGCCCACATATTGTGATTGATTACTATTATGGGAATTTTAAAAAATATTTATTGAAGTGTGATCCAGGTACAGAAAACTGCGTAGACAGCTGACTGGTTGTTCACAAAGCGAACATACATGTAACCAGCTCCTAGATGGAGAAACAGAACCCTCCTGATGCCCTCAGCCCCAGGGGTGGCCTTTATCCTGATTCTGTGATCTGATCTGTTTCTGTGACTTTGTTTTTTTAAGTGTGTATGCACCCATGCTATGTATTCCCCTCTACTTTCCTCACTGGTTTTGTGTGTGTGTGTGTGTTTGTGTGAGAGAGACAGAGGCTCCCCGTGTTGCTCTGTCTCACTTCATCTGGCCCTTTCGATGGCTGTCTAGTACTCCCTGTGTCTACCTCTGAGTTCTCTCCATCCCCTGCCTCTGGCTCCCCATAAATGACATGTGGTGGAGCTGGTGAACATCTGTCCCTGCCTGGCCTGGGAGGGGAGTCTCCTCAGGGGGAAACCTACCTGGACCTTATCTGCCCTCTTATAGGCACTAGATTTCTAAGCTCATCACCAGAGGTTAACATCACTGCTTGAGTTCAGACACTGATACCAGTTCAAGTCTGAGCTTTGCCATTCCCCAGCATGTGACTTTGAATTGGTCTCCCTACCACCTGGAGCCTCTGCTCTCCTGAACAACAGAGACAGTGCCTGGTCCTGCCTCCAGGAGCTGTTGGACCAGTCACCGTATTGATGTCAGCGGGTCAAGCGTTTGGCATGTAGGAAGCTCTCTGTCCTGGGGAGCTTAGCTCTATAAATAGAACCTTGATGGCTCAAAGTACTCCGAGATGTGCTAACCGTGCAAGTCTCTGCACGAGATTTTCCACAGTGCCTTTGACATGCCTTCCCAACAATCCCAGAGCAAGATCTCATTTTACCAATAGGAAAAACAAAGGCTCAGAGAAGCTAGTGACTTACCTGAGGTCACACAGCCAAGACACATTAGGGCTAGACCTCAAACCCAATCATTTGGTGCCAAAACTAGGACTCTGATTCAATTCTCTCCCAATCTCCATCCTCAGTCTGAATTCTCCATGCTTATCCACCCACCAATCTGTGAGCTGACTTTTGACCTCAGTTTGACCTTTGACCAGTGGACTTAAGATTCCTGACTCTGAGACTGTGTCAGCTCACCCTCAAGACTTTTGACCCCATGTCTAAAAGCTCCCTGTTGCCTGCTTCGTGTTTCTACCTTCCCCAGGTGCCTACTCTGACCTTACCCCTGCCCTCCAGGTGGTGGTGAATGGGACTCCTTTCCATGAGTTTAAGCACCGGATCCCACTGCAGATGGTCACCCACCTGCATGTGGATGGCGACTTGATGCTTCAATCAATTAACTTCATTGGAGGCCAGCCCCCCTCAAACCAGGTGTGTGGAGTCTCTCCTGTCTGCTTGTTTCCTTCCTTAAGTAATGCCCACGTTTACTTATTTCCTGGGCACTTTCTCAGTGCCAGGCCCACAGCTGGGTGATTCCATGGACCCAGCAGCAACCAAGACAATCTACTAGGAAGAGGGCTGTGTAACCAGATGGTGGTGGCCACAGGTGATCAGTGCCAGGGTGGGGGTTATACAGGAGGTTTTAAGAGTCTTTATTTCTTTTTCTAAGGCATTTGCACCATTTTCTCCACCATCATTTTGTTTTATTTATTTTTACTTATTGTTTGGCTGTGCCACTTGGCTTACAAGATCCTTGTTCCCTGACCAGAGATTGAACCTTGGCCCTTGGTAGTGAAAGTGCAGAGTCCCAACCTCTGGACCATCAGGGAATTCCCTGCAGAGTCTTAAGGAAGGACTTTCTGGAGGAGAAATAGGTGTGTGAGCTGAGTAGGAAAGCACAGACCCAGTGACCATGAAACCACTCCAAGGTCCACAGTGAACGATCGGACACCAAAACACAGGCCCTAGAACCGCCAGAGCAGCACAACTTGGAGCAGCTCAGACTCCACACCCCTAGCTTGTCCTTCAGCTGAGGGCTGTCCCCTTCTCAACCTGTGAGTCCCCCAGCCCCTCCCAGGGGAAAGTCCTCTCTGACAATCAGCAGCCCCATTCTACAGATGTGGAAACTGAGGCATGGAGCACTTAAGTAACCTGCCCAAGGTCATGGAGCTTGTAATCGGCAGAGACACAGATCAAACCACTCGCTCCTCTGCCTCCCCAGTGAGGAATGTCTTCATCCTTAAGGTAACCTCGGGCCTATGGTAACCTCATTTTACTCTTGTGCTCCATCAATGTATTTTATTATTTGTTTACTTTGGGCCTCACTGCCAAAAATGAGGGAATTCCCTCATCAGTGTATCTTAAAAATAAATAACAATATGGGAATTCCCTGGTGGTCCAGGGATTATGACTCTGTTCTTTCACTGCTGAGCACTTGGGTTCAATCCCTGGTCGGAGAACTAAGATCCCACCAAATGCACAATACAGGCAGGAGAAGAAAAAAAATGAAGTTATTTTTAAAAGGACCTTCACAATAGCTGGCTTAACACAGAAGTCAAGGCAGAAAGGAGTTCGTTAGAAACAGAGAGAAAGGGTAAAGAAAAATTGTCTAGATGGGGGAAAAGGTTTTCCGGGCACAAGGAGCCACAGATGTGAAGGTGAGGGTGAGTGAGAGAGAATCAGAGACAGGGAGAGCCAGAGTCCCACACAGACTGAAAAAGCCTGAGGCAGACAGGGCAGAGCAGGAACTTGGCTGGTAAAAGCACCCCTGGTTGCCCCAGGGTGGTCACGTAGAGTGAGGGGCAAATCGTGGTTGGCGATGAAGTGAGCATTGTGTGGGCTTGGGAGGTGTTTTGAGGGTGCTCACTTTATTGAGGGGCTCCTGGATTGAGGAGGGAGGAGAGGAGTGGATGAGGGTCCTGGGACAGCAGGAAGCCAGGCCGGGGCAGGTACAAGAAGAGAATTTGTCAGCCTTGTCCTAAAGGGGTGGGGTGAGGTGCACTGAAGACCCCTAAACTTGATGAGTTCCTCGCCATGAATGAGCTGTCTGGGTACATCCAGCGTTCCCATGGACCGTGGTGGTGGGCTGCCCTGGGGCAGGCATCCTTGACACCTTCCAGGCCCTAGTTTGGGGTCCCCCTCATTGCCTCCTTCTCCTCTGTGCCCACAGATGCCCATGCCTGCTCAGGCGCACTCAGTAAGTACCTGCTGGTGGGTGATGGACTTCCCCTCGAGGTGGGGGTTCAGTGGCTGAGGAGGCACTGGGGCCCCCAGCCTCTCGCCATTTATGTCTTCCTTCTCTCCATGTAGAGTCCCGGACAGTACTATCAACAACAAAGTAGACTGCCTGTAAGTGGGACGGTGTATGGTCATTTGGGTGTTGGGTGGTAAGAGTTGGGGGGTGGTCAGATTGGATCCCCAGTTGTATTAATCCAGCACCTAGAGATATGCCTGCATCTAGTAGTAGTTGTTTAATCACTCAGTCTTGTCTGACTGTTTGTGACCCCATAGACTGTAGCCCGCCAGGCTCCTCTGTCCATGGAATTCTCCAGGCAAGAATACCAGAGTAGGTTGCCATTTCCTTCTCTGGGTGAACTTCCCAACTCAGGGACTGAACTCACATCTCCTGCATTGGCAGGTGGATTCTTTACCTCTGAGCCATCAGGGACGGCCCCTGTATGCCATAGGTGTGCCCTGATTTTTGTTGAATATTACAGAATAATATCTCCTCTTCCTCATTTCACAGACCATGGAGGGACCCCCAGCCTTCAACCCGGTAAGGTCTCCGGTGGGAGTTTAGGGTTCTGTGGTGGGCAGTTTGTGGGATAACAGGAGTGGGAGGTCCTGAACCATAGGGAGCCCTGAGAAGGTTGGAAATAGAACAGGCAGAGCACATTTGGGACCAGGGGTGGGTGGGGAGAGGGTAGAATTGGTGGTCGGAGTTGGTGGGGGTTGGAGGTTTGGAGCATTTCCCAGGGTACGTGAACACTCCTCTCTGAAAATTCATCCCTGCCTCTGGTTTCTGGGGACCTGAGAAAAGTTGGGGTGTCATGTTTTCTTTCCACAGCCTGTGCCATTTAATGGGAGACTGCAGGGGGGGCTCATAGCTCGAAGAACCATCATTATCAAGGGCTACATACCCCCCACAGCCAAGAGGTACAGAATCTAGATTGAGGTGCCCCCCTCATTGCTCAGACCTAGGAGTCTGAGCCCTCAACCCCCTCCTCCATTGGAGACCTGGGAGTCCGGGCCCCAGTTCCCTCCTTCCTTGGGGAGTAAGGTGCTCCCCCAACCCCCCTCCCATACCCCCATCTCACTCCTGCCTTCCTCTCTGCCTCTAGCTTTGTCATCAACTTCAAGGTGGGATCCTCGGGGGACGTGGCTCTGCACATTAACCCCCGCATGACCGAGGGTGCGGTGGTTCGGAACAGCTTTGTGAATGGCTCCTGGGGATCTGAGGAGAGGAAGGTCTCCTACAACCCGTTTGGTCCTGGACAGTTCTTTGATGTGAGTCTGGGGTCTCTTTCGCTGCTCCCCTCCAAGGCATCTGTCCTGGCCCTGGCCTCATGCCTGCCCTTCTCCCTGCAGCTGTCCATTCGTTGTGGTGCAGATCGCTTCAAGGTGTATGCCAATGGCCAGCACCTCTTCGACTTCTCCCATCGCCTCTCAGCCTTCCAGAGGGTAGACTTGGTGGAGATCCACGGTGATGTCACCTTGTCCTATGTCCAGATCTGATCTATTCCTGGGGCCATAACCCTTGGGAACACAGGGGAAGATCCTGTAGGACCCTTTCTAAGCCCCTAATAAAATGTCTGAGGGTGTCTCATGAGTGTATGTGACTCCATTCACTTCCCTCATTGTCTCTCTTTTTGATTCAGTCATGGCCTGTCCATTCAGCCATCCAGTCATCTGGTCATCCATCTTCTCATCATATAAATCTAGGCCTTTGAGTGTATCAACTCATTCACTCCTCACAATGCCAGTAGGTAGGAACTATTACTATCTTTCATGTGTAAATGATGAGGAAACAGGCAAAGAAAAATGAAGTTTACTGCCTGAGGTCACAGAGTCCACAAATGGCAGGACCAGGATTCAAATCATCAAGGTGGTCCGGCTCCCAAGGCTACCTCCTCAACCACTGTGTAGTTTTGTAGTGGGAATTCCTAATAATGTAATTTTACAGCCTTGAGAAATTTCACAGAAATAGCACCTGGAAAAGCAGCATATATCAAGAAATTATGTTAATGATTATCTTTCATGTTTTTCTTAAGAATAATCACCTTGTTACAAACCCCAAGGCCAGACCCAGAAAGGGAGTATGACTGGGATCATGAAAGAATGGACCTTGGAGCCCTGGGTTGGCACCAGAAATGAACGCTGCACTTGCTAATTGTTCCCGAGACTAGCTCAGAAGGGAACAGCCTGGGATAAACACAAGGAGATCTGGACTATGTCAGTGTAGTCCATGACACTTAGAAGTACATGATTAACACAACATGTGTCTTGAGAAAGATAAGATCTGAGAAAGTCTTGTAGTCTGCAGTTAGGACTAAAAGCTGGATTCAGAGTGGACTCTGCACCTCAGTCCAGTAGAGGCTGCAGGTCCCCTGACCCACTGCACCAGATTTCGTGTTCTGTCTTCATTCTCGTCGTTTGCTCCTGGACCATTAGGGCAACATAACCTGTTGTCCCATCCGCCCCTATATCCATCTAACAAAGTCCATATACCTATTCAACTTCCAAATATCTAGCCACTCGCTAATCCATTTATCCATCTGTTCAGTCATCTTTTCATCCAACCCTTCATCCATTCACCCATCCATTCATCTCTCCATCTATCTCTGTCATCACCCAGCAATATTTCTAAACAGTCATGCAAGCATATGTTCATCCATCCACCTAAATATCCAATCATTCATTCACTCATCAGTCGATCTTCCTCTCCATTTATCCATTCAGCTATCATCCAATCTTTCACCCATCCATCTATTCAAGCATCTATTTACTCATTTATTAGTCCATATGTCTATCCATTCAGCCATCCTTACATCCAAATTTCATTCATCCATTCATCTCTTCACTCCTTCCTTTGTCCATGCAGTTCTCTGCCTTACAGCACATCCATCCATCCATCCATTTGTCCATTCACTTCTCCATCTAGTCATCCATTCATTTCTCCATTTTTATCTATCCAGTCATCGATTCATCTCTTCATGATCCATTCCCAACTATTTATGCACCCATTTACCTCATCATAAGTCCATTAACCATCTGCCATTTATTCAGACATCCCTTTATCATCACCTTTGTGTTGATTTAGTAATTCATTTATTTATACTTTCATGCATCCATTTATTCCCTCTTATTCTTTCACGCACTCGCCTATTCACATATCCAGTTATTTGTCGGTGCCCACTCAGTTGCTCATTCAGTTTATTGTCTCATTCATTCACCTAGTCTAGTTCTCAAACAGTTGTACATTGCAATCTCCTGGGGAGCTTTTAAAAAATATTGATATCTGATCCCAACCCAGACCATGATTAGATTAACCGATATAAAAATACCATTTTTGTAGGTTTAAAAGTGCTTACATATTAATCATTCCATATGTTCCAGCCTGGTATATCAGTAGCAGGTCCCAGGCATCAATATGTTCATTTAGTTCTCCAGATGATTCTATGGATTTGTCAAATTCTGATAAAAGATGTTCTGGGGCCCCCCAAACCCTGAATGGAGTCAGGAAGGGAGGAGGGATGACCTGGGCAACCTCTAGTCTGAGGCTCCTCCTTCTGGACTCTCTTGTCTCACTGAACAGTCACTGCCCAGGAATGGCTATGGAGATACACATCAGACATGAGCCTAGAGGGGCTTAGGGAGAGGGGCCCCCAAAGAGCTGGGGAGGTCATGTCTGATTTTGTATCACTGCTGCAAAACATCTGAAGAAATAACGGCTGCAAACTTACCCAATTTTATGGAAGACATTAGCTTCTAGATCCAAGAAGCTCAATGTACTGCAAGTAGGATATATACAAAGAGATCCATACCTAGACCCAACATAGTCAAACTGCTGGAAGAAGGAAAAATGACAAAGACAGTTTTGAAAGCTGCAAGTGAAAAACAGCTCAACACATACAGGGGAACAGCATGTGTTAACAGAAACAACTAACTGTTCACAGAAACAATGGAGGCCAGAATGCAGTTGAATGATTTATTCAGAGTGCTAAAGAAAAGAAAACTGTCAATAATTCTATATTCAACAAAACTACATTTTAAAACTGAAGGCAAGGGACTTCACTGGTGGTGCAGTGGTTAAGAATCCTCCTGCCAATGCAGAGGTTGAGAGTTCGATCCCTGGTTGGGGAACTAAGTTCCCACATGCCCCAGGGCAGCTAAGCCCACGGGCCACACTGCAGGGCACTCTGTAACCCATTTGCCACAACTAGAGAGACGCCAGCAGGCTGCAATAAAGGGTCCTGCAGGCCACAGGAAGATCCCGCATGTCACAGCTAAGACCCAACACAGCCAAAAATAATAAAATAGCTAAATAAATATTTAAAGAACAAAACTGAAGGCAAAAGAAAGATATTCTCAGGCAGACAAAAATCAAGAATTCATTGTGAGCTGATCTACCCTGTTGGAAATACTAAAGAAAGTCCTTCACTTTGAAAGAAAATGACATCAAATCCACAGGAAGAAAGAAGTGAGGACTCCTAGAAATTATAAATATGTGGACAAACATTTTAAAAAATCAATGTTTTTCTTTTTTCTTTGTTTTTTTCTTTTAAAAATGTGGTTGTAAAAGTGAAAATTATAACACTATGCTGTAGAGTGTATAACATATATTGATGTGATGTAATAACAGTAGCACAAAATAAGGTGGGAAATGGAGATATGTTGGAACAAGGCTGCTATATTTTACTGAAATTCAATATGTGTTAACCAAAAGTTGACTGTGATAATTTACAGTGTAAATATTGTCATCCCTAGAGTGACCATTTAAAAACCAGCTTTCAAAATATACAGTTTTAAAAAAAACCAACAGAGGAATTTAAATAGTATACTAAAAGTTGTTTAACACAGGAGAAGGTAGTGAAGGAGTCACAGAGAGTGAAAACAGACAACAAAATGGCAGCCATAAAGCCAGCCGTATCAATCATGACATCAAGTGTGAGTGAAATAAACCTTCCAATCAAAAGTCAGAGATCATCTGTGGTAGTCAGCTTCCAAAGTGGCCTCCAATGATGCTCACACCCTGTGTGAACACCTCCCAAACTGCACCAGTGTTGCTATGTAAGACTAAGAGAATATGGCAGAAGTGGTGATACCAGCTGGGTTATGAGACACTGCCGCTTCTGTCTTGGCTTGCTCTATTGCTGCCATCCATCACTGCTCTCGGAGGAGTCAGTAACTTTTTGAACAGTCCTAGGCAAGTGTTCATGTGACGAGAGACTGAAACTCCTGCCAACACCCACGTGTGTGAGCCCTCTTGGGTAAAGCTCCTCCAATCCCAGTCAAGCCTTTAGGATAGGGGTTGCAAACTTCTCCTATAATGTTGTTGCTGTGTTGTTTAGTTATTAAGTCATGTCCAACTCTTTGCCACCCCATGGACTGCAGCTGGCCAAGCTCCTCTGTCCATGGGATTTTCCAGGCAAGAACACTGGAGTGAGTTGCCATTTCCCTCTCTAGGAGATCTTCCCAATCCAGATTCAAACCGGAGTCTCCTGCACTGGCAGGCAGATTCTTTGCTGCTAAGCTGCCAAGCCACATAGTAAACCCATTAGGAGTTGTGGGTGACCTGAAAAATTCCTGAAATCCACTGGTGAAGCACAAAAGCAGCCAATAGGCAATACATAAATGAAAGAGCATGACTGTGTCCCAATAAAACTATTTATGGACAGTGAAATGTGTATTTCACATCATTTTCAGTGTTATGAAATATTGTTCTTCCCCCCCACACACACACTTTTTCCCAGCTATTTTAAAGTGTGGAAATTATTCTTAGATTGTGAGTCTTACAAAAACAGGCATTGGGGGATTTAGCCCACTGCCATAGTTTGCCAAAACTTCTTTCAGATGATAGCAACCTCACTGATAGTTTGACTGTAGCTTCATGAAAACTCAGCACCACAACCACCTAGTTAAGCCACTCCTGGCCTCCAAACTTCAGAAACTGTAAGACAATAAGGATGAATTATTTTATGATGCTAATGGGATAATTTGTCATGAAGCAATAGATAATAATACTCTGTCAGCCTCAATAAGAAAGTCAGACCCAAGCATATGCTATTTGTACTTTAGATCTAACTTTCTAGACATAAAAAAGTTGAAAGTAAAAGGATAAGAAAAATACCATGCAAACAGTAACCATAAGAGAGTGAGAAGGACAAAATTGGTATCAATGCAACAGATGTTAAAAACATTTTGCTAGAGACAAAGAAGAACATTTCATGATGATAAAAGGGTCAATACATCATAGATACTCATGTAGGGAATTCCCTATTGCTCCAGTGGTTAGGACTTGGTGATTTCACCGCTCGGGGCATGGATTCTATCCATGGTCGGGGAACTAAGATCCTGAATGCCCAGAGGCATGGCAAAAGACAAACTAACAAAAAACAGAACCAAAAAACCCCAAACACATGTACATTGCTAAGTGACAAAAGCAAGGTGAATAGGTGGAGAATGCTCAATTTTATGCAGGGAGGGGCAGAAAAACTGCATATGCCTGCATTTAGGAGCATAGAAAGGCCTTCCTTGGTGCTCCAGTGGCTAAGAAACTGCCTTGTAATGCAGGGGACACTGGTTCCACCCCTGGTCTTGGAAGAT